CAAATGTCAAACTTACAGTTAAACCGCTCAAGTTGAGTCAGCTATTAATTGCCAAATAAGCACAAAACATCTAATGTGGCTCCCGTGTGGCATGCCAAATGTCAAACTTACAGTTAAACCGCTCAAGTTTATATATATACATATGATGATATGATATGGATTGCATTCATCACGATGGTTTTGCACTTAATTTCCAATAATGACCATACTAGCACGGTTATGCCCTATTTTAACGCATCAATCTATTTCTTTCATTTTTAAATATAGTGGAATAAATCTAGACCATTTGATGCACCATATCTAATAGAAGGTGATTATATATATATATATATATATATATATATATATATATATATATATATATATATATATATATATATATATGTCTACACACACACACACATATAGTTTCCAGTGAAAATGAGATCTTATGAAAGAAATAAGAATGAGTTACCACCGTTAGATCTGATCCTACTGCGTCAAGTCCTCATGGGCTTTTTCGGTTTTACACAACTCAATCGCATCTCATCGTATTCTCTCTCGTATCTCTTTCCGTAAAATCCTCTCACAATCAATTACCTTCTTCCTCTATCACCAGTAACTCTTTTTCTCTCTTTGATTTTCTTCAATCTTTGCCATAATTAACAATTAATTTCTTCCATCATAGAATTTTAATAATTTGGTGGCTCAATTTTATGGATTCACTGATTTGAATTCTTTCTTTTAACATGGCGTGAATCGTGTTGCGAGATGCAGTTGCAAGGACAACGGAGGAAGTAGAGCTTGGCATCCAATTGATGGTTAATGCTAAAAGAAATCATTGAAAGGTATGGTAGTGGCTGGATTTTGCTTCCATCCTATACAATTGGGTCTTATTTTCTTTTTTCTCTTTCTTTTAAATAATTTAAATCAATTTCTTTTGTGTAAATTAGTGTTGAATCATTAGAGTTTATGTTTGCATGCAACATGTTTGATAAAACGTCCCAAAGATTTATTTGGTGTAATCTACTTCCAGCCTTCTATTTTGGATGAATTTCATATTTTATTTTTGGTTCAAGCTTTTTGATTTCATTTTGTACATTCTTCTTCTAGCTTTCTAATATCGGTGATGTCCAAATATTTTTTCATTTTATATTTTATATTTTATGCATGTTATTGCATTCTATTTATATAGTAGTGCATCTGCATATGCAAAGACTACATTTTTTTTACATAGTACCACTTTGGTTGTGTACATGTTTATTTTTATGCTTATAAAGAACTTGAAGATAAATATCATTTTGTATGCATAAAAATGCAATGGTGCAAGAAACATATCTTTACACATTATTCTTGTGTGGCTTTTTTTCTTGAGGAATATAACCAAGATGATTCTTTACATAGATATGTAAATCCTCACACTATGCATTATACGAAATACTCAGTGTATTATATGAAATTAGTACTTCATATTCTGTAAAATCGAGTCTAATATGTAAAAATGCTAAATACTCTTTATTTTAGTAAATCATAAGAACATTGTAGTGCATATTATACATGTATATTGAATTATTTAATTATCTTGCAATTGTGTATTGCAACGTGATTGCACGCTTTTAATAATGCACATAATAGTTTTTTTGCTGGAAACAGAGTTAGGTTGTGATCAATGCCTAATGTTATTATGTGTTGATGGTGCTCATTATTGTTCATATTGTGTAATTTAACTGATCATAACAGACATGTTAGATTCATGTTTGATGCACTTCATAAATTGATGACATTCTATATTCAAACATATCAAGGTAGTGTTATAATACAAATCTACAAGCTCATACACATACATTAAATTGTTGGACCAACCCTTGGTTGCTGGTGTGGTGCTACATTTTGTTAGAGGTGTGCACTGCTGCTTTAATTCTCTCTCTTTTTTAATTTTTCTATTATTTTGTAAGAAATTTTTTGACCTTATCAGCAAGCGATATATTTATTTGCATTAATTTTATATAGCCCAGCATTCTCTTCTCTCCCCAATTCAATTTCGCACAAAGGAAAAAAAACAGAGAATTGAAGTCTTCGACTTCTTCTTCTTCGCCGACCGTGGAACGGAAGAACGCTCCAACGTCTCTCCACAAATCTCGCTCAAGCGCTCCAACGGGAAGAAATTAAAAGCCCCTTGCTCCTACTATCCTATAAATTGAAGAACTGAACACAAGGAGGAAGAGGGGGAAACACACGAGAATAAAGTAGCGGCCAAGCCGCTGCTATGGCGGACGGCTGGCAGACGCGAACCAGCGGCGGCATCAGTTCCGGCGAGCGGTCGGCAGTAGCTCCGGGCAGAGGTTCGGGTGTTCCATCACAGCTCCAATTTCTTCAATTTCTTCATCTTTTTCCTCCAATTGGTAACCCTTATCTGTCAATTTTATCTTTTTTTCTCCAATTCTATGTAAAAGTTTGCTTTTTGTTCAATTATCACAATTTTTTTGCTTGTTTTGTTTGTTCCAAATATTCTAAAAATGGCTGGTGTTTTTCTTTTTGGGTTTTTTTAATGCCTATATTAAATCCCTTATGAATGAGAATTGATTCATACTAGTTTTTCATCAATTATTGAGCAAATTGTTGTTAAATTGGTTGAATTGTATAATTTGATTTCATAAGTAGGTTGGTATTGTTAGAATAAAGGCCCAATGCTAGAGGGGGGGGGGGGGGTGAATAGCGTTTAAAACAAAATCGCAGGAAATTAAAACGAGAGCGTTAAAGTAAAGAGCGTAAGGAAGGAGCACGCCGAATTTTATCCTGGTTCACCACAACGTGTGGCTAATCCAGCCCCCCGAGAGACTCTCTCGAGCTACACTAACTCCGTTAAGCTTAAGGGTGCTTAACAAACCGATACAACTTGAGAACCCGAGTCACACGAGCCTCAACACCTTTGCTCGGAGATACCGCACTCCAAGACTTCTCACGAAGGAACAAG